AATATGGCCGAGTGCTAGAGTGCTTGCGGCAGTCTAAGCCGTCTGAATTTTATTTTCCTCTTGAGGTTAACCTCGTTTCAGGAACGTGCTTCCTAGACCGGCAGCTGCCGCATTTATAGTGTTCCATGTTGCTTTTTATTCTAAAGTCAGATACGACTTTGCTCAAATTCGCAATTCATGCGATTTTTAAATGTTTAAAACGTTCGCACAGTACGGGGAAATTAAATAAATAATAAATACATATTAATTCAGGACATGTTTTTAAACAACTTTATCTAATAAGTAGAGCTTGTGCTCTGCTTAGTTTGGCTGACTAGTAGCTGGTAGCTGATAAACATACTTAAAAGTATAATTTTCTTTTGTAAATAAATACCTATTATAGATACATATAAAAACACCCAGACACTAGAAAAACACATGTTATACAGTATTATTCCACTAGTGGGGATCGAACACACACCCTCTGGCGTAAGTCTGACTGACATAGTCCCTATTAGTAGTTAGTTTTATTTTAAAAACTAACCTAGTTTTTTTTTTTAAAAAAAACGTGCTTACTTTCTCCGTCCATTATCCTGTGTCGTAAGGACGTTTTACAAACAAAAATTTCACGTAGACAAACACCCAGATGCCAAACAACTATCTGTGGGTCACTCAAATAGTTGTCCCGTGTGGGAATCGAACCCACGACCCCCGACACCGAAGCCAATACCTTGGCAACTGCGCCACGGAGTCACTTCTCTGTAGATCAACAGCTGGCTTCGACAAAAAATAAACCGAAAATAAAACGAAGCGGAACAGTCCTCAAGCGAATAGTTTTAGGGCGGGACTGATGACCGATACGCGGCTATATTTAACTTGTAACCCACATATGATACGTTCAAACGACATCGGAATGCTCGTTGCTCTCCGATGGACCTCTTGGCAAAGTTGCAAGACTATCGGCTTGGGCGCCGCTGCTTGTGGGTTCGATTACCAACTCATTAGTCGCTTATACAAATGTCCTATATACACACGTCCTGCACACACTTGTATGTTCTACAAATAAGGCCGGCCTGCAACATTATACACGCATAGTGCTAACATACAAAGCCAACCATCGCGAGCATCGCATATAAGAACGGTCACACCAACAAAACGTGTACTCAAGGTGCACCCGCGTCAAACCATCAAACCTCCGAAATCCGCATGCATCATCAAATACGCGACCGTACTCTACAGGGATATTCGTATAGCTCGTGTAATTTCGCCATTCCACTTACTATGCTTTTGTAAAACAACTTTTAAAATTCCAAATTAATGGTTTTTGAAGAGTTGCAACAATTTATAGTTAACAAGTTCAAAACCGAACTCAAATATCTCGCTCTGTATTCGTTTTATAATTGATTTTGAGGAGTTCCCTAAGTATCTCCGGAGCCCAAGATACAAACCGATGAAATTAATATGGGGCCATATGGGGGGCGCAAAGTCAAATAAATAGAATCGTCAAAATCGGGCCACACATTCGAAATTTCTGGTGTAACTAACATAAAAAAATACAGTCGAATTAAGAACCTCCTCCTTTTTTAAAGTTGGTTTAAAAAAGTGTAAATTTTTAATATTTTTTTTTCTTCATGAAAAAGAAGTCTGTTGAAAATTTACTTGTCTTTTTTTTTAATGTGAAAAGTTACCAAACGAGCAGACGGTTCACCTGATGTTAAGTGAATACCGCCGCCCATGGACATCTGCTACACCCGAGGGTTGCAGATGCGTTGACAGCATTTTGAAAATTGGGCTCCGGCCACCTCACTCACCAAAAGAAACGCGAAAGCATTACACTTCCACTTTACGCCGGTCTTCTGTGAGGTCGTGGTACTTACCCGGACGAGCATGCCCATTCTTGCAACAGCAGAGGCTGCTGCGTGGCCCTACCACCGTAACTGTCTGTTATATTTTAGTTTTACCTGTGATGCTGTTGTATAATTTTACACCACCAGACGGTAAGGTAATGCGAAAGGAGACTGCCAACAATAAAAAAAAGACATCGGAAATGGCGCCCGGTTTGCTGTCCTTGCATAATTACGGAGGCTAACTGCTCCGTAATTATGAAGCTTCAACAATTGAGAAGTAAACAGACTATAGAAAACAGAAGCGTGCTTTAAAATAAATATTTTTATAATCCGCTATCGAAGCCCAATGGCCTGTCAGACAGATTGAGGAAAGAAATTGAGATTATCGCGACACATTTGAAACTCATTTGAGTACACTTGTGACAACCGCTATAAAAGCAAATTTAGCACGAATAATGTGTAATATGCTACGTTACATCGTAAAAGAACTCGTAAACTAAGCTTATGAACGCTACGTGCATATATGGCGGAGGCCAAGGTGTGCCACGGTGGTGGAAATTTGGAAATCCGTAATCTCTGCCTAGCGCTTATGGCAAAAGGCGCTATATTTATATATTTTATTTTAACTGTGGTAGAGCCGAGAAACATTCTTCGCTGTGGCACGAATGGGCGGGTCCGTCCGGTTAAGTACCAGAACCTCACAGAAGATCGGCGTAAAGTGGAAGTGTTATACGTCTGCTTTTCGTATGGTGAGTGAGGTAGCCCGGACCCACGTTATCATAGATGGAAACGCATCTGCAATCCTGCGGATGTTGCAAATGTCAATGGGCGGCGCTTATCACTTAACATCACGTGAAACTGATCAAAAAGATATACTATGTCACTGATTGTATGCGTGCATATTGAAAAAAAAAAAAATTAGTCTATTGAATGCTACACTGTTTGGGGATATAAAAGTTAGAGCACGCAATTTTATTTTTTAGATGGGGGTTTTTGTTCTTAAAAATTTACTACATTACGAATACTTTGCCCGATATAATGTTAATACCATTCGCACCCCTTTTTACGAGACATGGGTCATCACACTAACTCGTGACGTCCAAAAAATAAAATTACATGCTATGCCTAACATGCTAAGACTAAAACAATTTAAAAACTTAACGACTACTTTCTTATCGTAACATGAAATTGTAGTGTTTAAGCGTTACCTTAAATTTCACGTTACACAATAATGTTATTCTTAATTAAAAATAGTAGTAACATCAAACCTAACCACAACGAAGTTTACCTTACCATCGCACAAATCGGACACATCCCAATCTACTAATGAAATGTAAATATCACTCAACGTGAACGCTGTAAAATAGGATCTATCTAATATGCTAATAATACGCCAGAGGCATTTATTTACACGAAAAATTTTGAATATTCATGATCTTTTTTTAACGAATGTCGGAATGGGTTCCAAATTTCAAGTTAAAATTATCCTAGACATTTTTAGAATTAAACTTAATTTAAGCAGCTACACAGAAGAATAAATGTGTTTTATATACCAGTACAAGAAATTGTATAGTATCAAAATATAAACTCAACATTTCTTTTTTTTTGGCAATCAATAAATGTAATACTTCTATATTAAATAAAGATATTTGAATTTGACTACCTACACGTCATACTTAACAACCACTGGCGTCTGATGGATCCAGGGTTGTGGCTTTCTCGATGGACGATCCTGAGAGACGAATTTATTTGGGTACAAGATACTGATCTCATTACTCAATACCCCATGGACCCCAACGGGCGTCTACCAACGACTGGACTGAATCCATATTACCTACTACACGGCGTAGGCAAAAAGGCCTTCATAGGACAATTTATATTTATAAAATGCCTTTACAGTAAGTTAACATTGCCCTGGTTGTAAAGACGTTTTACATACAAAAAAAATCAGGTAATGCATACTCCCAGATCCGAAACAATTATATGTGGTTCACACAAATAGTAGTCTCGTGCGTGAATCGAACCGACGACCCTTGGCAACTGCGCCACTGAGTCATCGTCAATTACCTACGTTTGTATTAAACTTAAGTAATTGACGATGTAATTAACTTATTTTAGGCCAAAGCTAAAGGGATGGAATGCGTTAAGAATTCAAAGAAAACAATTTCCCTAAGCACAAATCGTTAATTTTGGGAGACTACAAGTTTTAAATTGTAAATTTTTGTAGATAAATTAATAAAAACTTTCGGCGTTGCGGGATTACAACTTGAGACTACAAGTTGTTCTTTCAATTATAAAATTACAGTACATGGAAAGAAACATAGGAAACGACTAGTCTAATATATGAAACACCGAAGCACTACAAACTCGGATGGAGGCCCCGGCGTACAATAAACAATCCATAAACGCTTCTCTCGAATAGCAGCTATAGTTCAATGGGTTACTTAAACGGCTAAGACAATGTAACTAACGAAGTTCATTTCAATCTCGTCATGTTGCCACAAATAAGGCATGTTTAATGGCTGCAGTAAACGGACGACAAATAACAGCCGTTTTATGCAGACAAATACATAATATGGATATCCGTATGTTTAATTATGGGATTACTTACTAAGTGAAACCTTAGAGCGTCCTACGAACGTGTAAACGTTGCTCTCAGTTCGGTCTTAATGGAAACAATTCGCGAAATGAGAGCAATTGAAACTAATTCTTCTAAACGTACGAAACTATGAACGAGCTGCAATCCATCAATAATTTTAATACTCGCTTGCTAATCGTGCATCATGTAACTCGCACAATAATTATTATTTTCAAAAGAGCTCTATTCATCTAGTGCGGTCGCTGTGTTCCACAGCTGTTGGCAAGACTCCACCTAACACGAGCGTTGTGTACCCAAACATTAAGTTTCAGTTACGCGGCAAAAAACTTTTAGTTTAGCGTACCAAAGTATTCATTTATCTATGTTGTTGCTAAAATATAACTTTCACAAATATACCGAAAAAAGGAATTATTACCTGGTTAAGAACCCCCATTTGTTTATCGCGACGTCTTCCAAAACAAAGTTACGTTATAAGGAACTTTTAAAACATTTAATAAAATGTAAACACCGATTTATTTCACAGGGACGCAAAAACTAAAACGGGAGACTATAGCGTTTTAAAATAATAATAAATAATGACAAAGACAAAGGTTTTAATACCTACAGATAAACCGAAACGTCGCATCGCGAAGGTGAAAAAATATAATCAAAAAATCCGTTCCGGAATCCGCACAAAAAGGTACGAGTGATTATAGTTTAAACAAACACAGTTCGGCGAACGCGCGCGTAAACTTGACCAATTCGATTTCCGAACGCGCCCGCGCCCCCGCCGGCGGCCGACCGCGTTGGGCGAAAGTCGCAAGGAGCCCGGCGCGCGGGTGAAAGTGACCGCGTCGGAAAGCGACCCGACCGCCGCCGCTTTCGTACGAGTGTCCTTTCCTTCGGCGGCGCTCGCGGACCGGTTGCAGTCGCTAGTCGTCCCCTTTCAACGCGGCGCGAGCGAACGGGACGCGCGACGTTTGATAACATTTCGCACGTACAAATGTTCAGACTATCTCTAACAGCGCATATTGGGTAATTAAGACCGAGGATGATGACTTACTGTGGAGTGTGGGATCCCCTAATTGTGGTGCAACAAGGTACACAAATTGGATACACTCTGAATTTCGACCAGCTTTGGTTCCTATTTAAAAAAAAAAGAAAAAAAGAATGGACCAAAGCCGCATAACAAGTTTTACACACGCAAATCAAAATATTATATGCCAATCTGCAAATAATATGTAATCTCTTATCACAAAGAAATTAATGAAGAAATATTTTTATTAGGATCAACTCCATCAGGTAAGGACAGGATGATGACTCCGTGGCGCAGTTGCCAAGTTATTGGCTTCGGCGTCAGGGGTCGTGGGTTCGATTCCCACACGGGACAACTATTTGTGTGACCCACAGATAGTTGTTTCGCATCTGGGTGTTTGTCCGCGTTAAATTTATGTTTGTAAAACGTCCCTACAACATAGGATAATGTTATCCTAAAGTAAGGGCAATGTTTTAAAAAAGAAAAAAAGAAAAAAGAAAAGAAAAAAAGGATTGTGTAGTATTTTGTCGTCAAGTATAAAATTCCAGATCTACAAAGTGGTGATTTGATAAAGACTATTATATTCCAGATACTATATATCCAATAATAATCAATTCAATAAAAAAAAGGTATAGGTAATTTTTAAATATAAGATTTTTCTATTTTGTTGTTAAAAAGAGTGCAGAAGTCATTAGATTACACTATCACAATTACAATTGCTACTGAATTATTTAAAAAAACCCAAAACTTAACTTAAGAAGCAAGTTATTACTAAAAGATTGAATTGAACATGTGTATTAAATGTTTATTGAAAAGACAATAAGTGATGATTACTTAGATCTTTTTCCCCCCTCTAATTTAAGCCTATTTCTTAACAATATGCTGTCATGCTTGAAACTAAATAAGTTTTGATAATCATGGGGTGTACTTACTATATCAGCCAAACCAGTTTTGATTCACCAGTTTCAGTTGATATTTCACCATATTTAGAATTTTCCAGACATGTTAATTTCAAGTGAAAATTGTCTACAAAATTAAAGGGATGTTTCAATTAAAGGTGATGTTTAAATTTTGACCTCATTTACATATAAACGGTGGGGAATTTGTAGCTTTTAGATAGCTGAAAGCTGCTATGAGCATTGCTGTTGAACTTATATTACTGTGATACATACATTATAAATTTTACCAATTAATTTATTATTATTTTACTGGACAGTAAAATTTTAGCAGGCTACTTCAATATAACAAAAAAAATTTTAACAATAGAGAAAAATCAGTAACAAATTAAGGGAATTTAAGTAATAAATAAAAAAAATATTTCATTATTAAATTTGACTCTCCCAAGCACTTTGCCAGAACCCTCACTATGTCGACTCTGAGTGTTGTCCACCCACTTGATTTTCACCCCCTTGGCTTGCTCTACTCAGGACCTCTGACATGAGGTTCTGGCTCCACCTTTTATGTTCACTCTAGGGGTCAGGACCACAAGAGCACATGGAGTTAGGGTGTGTGACACTCTGTGTCGGATTATTATGATTGAACTTTATATTTCTGTATCATTTAATTATGTTTTCTGTGTGCTATATTGAAGTAGTAGCCTACTAAAATTTTTCCTATAATTAAAGTAAAAAACTTTTAATATAAGATATGTCTTTATATTTTCATAAGAATCCATTTTATCACAATTCTTATCTCAAATATGATGATAACTCATACATAATTATCATTCTACTACAAAAAACAATAATACTTAAGCATGGAAATCTATACAATAAAATTGACACTCACAAGGTTATTTCTTTATCATTGTGTAACTTAAAACAATGAATGCTCTTCTATTTGGTTTATTATAATAATAAAGACATATATACATAAATATAGCTATAGAACAGGTAGTCTGCATAAAGATGATATTAGACTTTATTAACCTTTTTATCTCATTTAATTCATTCTGGCTTCATTCAATTCATTCATATTGATGTATAGAACGGGTCAAAATGAAGTATGTATATGTATATAAGTTCTATGCAATAGTCACATAAAATAAAAATAAACTATTAAAAAACATTACACTTTCTGACATGGATCTCCCAATTGTCCCCATAGCTTTATGCTTGCAGTATGTAACAATGTTTTATTTAAACAGCTGGATTGACACATCTATAAAAAACAATTCATGACCTTTTTACAAGTAAGGTGATGGCTAAATAGCCCAGTTTTATAATATGAATTTCCTGTTTAACTCAAGTCCTATCATATGTTATAGTTAAATCAACTATTTCTCAGTTTTGAACTTCGGCAGAAACACCTTTGAAACAGGTAAGTGGGATAGTTAAGAAAATTTTAAAAATTCTATTTTGGTACAAAAGTACCCAAAATTTAAATTTGTTATGAAAGTTAAAAAACAGCCAAGAACAATGTTAAAAAATAAAACCGTACTCACCAGCTGAAAACCAGCGTTTAAGAAACACAGGTAAAAGATCAGCATGGCTCGAAACACTAAATGCGAAAGATATCACAATTTACATTCACACTGACGATCAAGTTTCGAATCACTACACTCACATCACAAATTTACCATTTATAACACAATAAAAATAATCTGGTCGATATGATGAGACTATCACAAAGACATTTAAAAAAAATATATTGCTGTTTTCGACGAAACGTACACAAATTAAACACCTTCGTGGTAAACACTTGCGAAACAATATGTTGTCAATTCATGTCAAGTTACCAAAAATATATACGAAGAAATCAAACATTATTGTAATACAACTATGTAATAATGTAATTACAGGAAACAATTAATTATAATGTTACGAAAAATCTTTGATCAGTACACTGTGGTATCAACAATCCATCTTTCAAAAGAGCAATACGCAATCACACAACTACCATTACACCAGTCGACACTCGACAGAAAACTGGAAACTGGAACAAACAAGATTACCAACTTGAGAAAGCGGCATTACAGTGACATGACAATTGACACTGACAGCAAGAATGATACCATGAGAAAAATTATAATTTATTGAGATCTTTTACATTTAATATATTAAAAACAGAGGAGTGTTTTTAAAAAAAATTAAAGGTCTTAAAAGTTCAATTTTAATTTCAATAACTTTAAATATTATATAATAAACATAAAAAAAGTGTGTATTTATATACGCTCGTAAGAAGTTATACTTCTTTAACGTAATTTTATCACGTTTGTCAGTACCTAATTTATGAAAAAAAAATCCATTAAACGCAATTGCTAACGTTTTAATTATTAATTATAACTTGGAAATATTAAATAAAGGTAAATGTCTAAAAATGCTACCATGGTAACATCACGAAGTTCGTGTTGCGCATCGTAATTAATTTTTCTGAAACGCGCCGATGTATTTTCCTAATAAATAAAGCCTACCTAATGGTAAAACTTATGATTTACTTAATAAGGTTATCAATTTAATTTATGTCATTTGGAAACTGCTCCTTACGACAATGTGATTTGTTGTAATAAAATCCATTATATCTTATATACTAAATCACATAATTTCCAACAGATGGCGTCAACAACGTTATTGATTCAAATCAAAATAGAGTAGTCAAGTCAAGGTACAAAAACCGTACCGTAGTTCTTTTCTTCCAAAAATTGAAAAAAGCCAATCCATTAAACTTTTATTGTCAATCAGAACTTGATGAATTCCAATATTTTGAGAACTCTGTCGGATTAGATGATTTACTATGAAAAGGCTGCCCTCGCAACATTTATTTTATTGTCGTCTCTCTGTTGCATTCCATCAAATAAATGACTAATAATAATAGAGTGGTAGAAGTGGTAGGATGCAGGAACAGATTGATGCAAATTGCAGTGGCGTTCTTACGGCCTCCCCTTTAGAACGCTACGACGAACAGCACTTTGCCAACAGTGGTAGTCTTCCAGCTGATGATGATGAGTATAGGTTCTGATGATTTTTATTTTCTAAAATGATAAAACTATTTTTGAACGTAAAAATTGTCATATTGTTTTTCAAAGACAAATCTGGTATTAGTAAAACTAAGCACTACATAACTACTATTATACAAAGAAAAATAGCCATTAACAGTAACTATACAGCAGTAACAGGAAATATTTACAAGCAAACTTACAATCTCAATTATGCACTATAACTTAAACATGTTTTATATTAAGCAGCTTAAGATAAAAAAAAACAATTTAATTTTTGCATTCTTCTATTACATAATTGGCCTACATCTTCCTCTCTCTCTCCCAAGTCAATATTTTGTAAATGTACCATCAATTTAATTAAATTATTGATGAGTGCTGCTTATAATATCACATTTAAGAAAACAAACTCACTAAAATTTGAGTGTAAACAATATCTTGCCAGCACTATTAAACATACATTCCTCCTATTAAAGGAAAATTTCACAACTAATCAGTCTTAGACTTTGTTAAGAAGATGTATAGATCCAGGTAAACTAAATGGTCCAAGTCGAGATTTCACATCAACAGCTCTTACTGAAAAATAATATTTATATCCTGGCATGAACTGAGTTAGTGTGCAGGCCATGGGTAGAGGCAAAGCTTTTACATCGCCAATTTTTTTCCATAATGCAGTACTAGGTGGACAGGTAGTTTCTTGATAAGCAAATAGTTGATAACTTGATATTTCCTCATAACTGTCAACTTGGTACCCTTCTATTTTCCATGATATAACAATCCCATTGTCTACTTTTGAGAGTGTTAAGTCTGGTGCGGGCGGTAATGCTTTCCAATTAGGTGGCTGATACTGCTTCATAGCATCAGGTAAAGGTGCAGGATGTCTGTTAGATTGCACTTTATTCATCCTTATTGAATTAGACTGCTTGCTTGGTAAACTATTTGAGGGTCCTCTTGGCCTTGGTCCTGAAATGAAAAGAGTAGTGCCATGATATTAAAAAAAATTGTAGACTTTTCAAATGTGGTGACATCACGAAGCACCTTCTGTTAAAGAAATAGACAGCCGTATCTGCAGGAGTACCATAGCCTTACAGAAAACCAGATTAAATTGGAAATATTAGACTCACATTTTATCTAATATATATATTATCTAATATTAGACTCACATTTTATCTATAGTTTACTTGTGTTATATCGGGCCTAACCCTTTCACTTTTATAAAATTTTAAAAACTGAATATTACTTATAGTTACTAACCTGGATTTGGAGGTACAGATCTTAACAAAATGGTCTGCCCTGGTCTAATATTCTGAGCTTGTGGACTGCTTATTGGAATGTACACTTTTCTTGGACTGTTAATATTGATTGTAAATGGTTGTCTTTGCGGTGCCAATAGATTCTGTGGTGGTACTAATCGTACAGGTGGAGCCGGTGAGCTTCTAGAAACCATTTTTGATGGTGGTTCATCATCTGTTAAATCTACTGTTACAGATTGCAGTCTAGTCCGCTTTTCAGGCTTTAGTACTGGTGGCGAGTTTCTCATGCCATTAACTGCAGCGTTATTTGTTTGTGAAGGTTTTGCCACATTATTAATAACTGTATTGGTTGTTGAATTATTTTTATTTGTAGGAGTAGCAGCTGGTACCAATCTTGGTACTGGAATATGTTGATTATTCTTTTTAATATTAGCACTGTTGTTATTTGTTTTACTAAGGGGCAAATTAGAATTTGCTGTAAGACCTTGACTTTTTTTCGTCGCAACAGATCTATCTGTCATAAAAACTTGCATACCAACAGACCTAGTTATTTTCAGGGGCGTTATCGGTACTACAGAAGACTTCATTTGTGCTTCTTGAACAGATTTTAAAATAAGTTGAAGATCTTTAGTCTGCTTGGTCACCACCGATAATTTTTTTTTGTACTCTTCGACATTACGTGCCATCGTTTTAAGCTGGGCTTTAATATCACCTAGATTACTTTTGTCAACGACACTTTCAACAATTTTCAATATGCAAAACTCTTCAAGATCTTCTCGGGTCATATCAGCAAGATTTTTTTTACATGTTTTCAGGAAACTAGACGGTAAAATTGGTTTATGAGATTCTTTTTCACAGCTGTCCTTCTGTGTGCAGTCCAATTCGTTTTTCAGTAAGTTATTTTCAGTAACTGAAAACAAAAAATTTATATCATAAAGTGATATATACATAAGCATGTAAACAAAGGAAATATATTAAATGAACTTCTCGTTTTCTTTCAAGAAAAATACAAAAAAAAATAATGCAAAAAATTTACCTGCATCTTTATTTGTATTCATAGGATCAGTACATGATGGAGATTGCCTTTCAGTATTAGATATATCTGTTTCTTCAGATATGGACTCAACCATACCAGTATTATTTTTATTTTTTTCACCTATATTCTCTTCTATTAACATGACATCATCATCATCTACAAGTGAGATATTTTGAGAATATTTGCTTACATTTTGAATGTCCTTAGAAACACCTTGTTGTTCATCTTCATCATCAGACAATATATCTAATGTATTTGATAACTTGTAAGCTTGTGACTTCTTTTTCTCGCCCAGTTTTTCAGTTTTGTCGCAAGGCAAGCTCTCATTTACAATTTCTGCTTTGTCTTCAAGCACTTGCTGCTTGTGATTTGCGTGCTCTGAATAATTTGATTTATTTTCTTTCGATTGCTCCTTTTCTTCCGATTTTTCTCTTAATTCAACTTTCTCATCAACTTCAGTGGTATTCAATTCAATATCATTTTTATTAATGCTGTCAGTGAGTGAATTAGAAATAACATCTTCATCTTTAGTATTCTTTTTGTTTAACAAAATATTTCTCAGTTCTTCATTGCTGTCCAGATCATTATCACCAACGGTTTTTAATTTTCCATCGTCCTGATCAACGATTTTACCTAAATCTTCATAATCACGTTTTTGTTCAACATCTTTATCTACAACTTTATTGCTATCCAGTTTGATTTCTACTTCAGTTTCTAAATTAGATGTTTCGTTATTTTCAGTAGTATTTTCATCGGCAATATTGCCTGGTTCGATGAATTTTATTTCGTTACTACTTGCGCCATATTCAGTGGATTCAGAAAAATTTGCTAAATTTGAGTCTAGTTCTATAATATTATCCGATGCATTGCACTGGTCATCAGACTGCATAAGTGCTCCATCATGAAAGTTTTCATCTTGTATTAATTTTGGTATAGTATCACTTTGCACCTTTGTGACATTTTCAATACCATTAGATTCTTTTTCGCAATCTTCCGTTAAACTAGCATTTCGTCTTTCAATGGAGTTATCTAAATCTTCGGAAGATCTTTCGTTCTCTTCATTATTAACGTTACTCTCAATGTTTGATATAATTGTAGGTATATCGGTATTTTCTTCTTGGTTATTACTTTCACCGTTAGGAATGTTATTTTCTATATTTTGTTTTTCTTTACCATCGTCTAGTAAAGTAATACCCTTTAAGTCACTAGCCCCATGGTGAAGATCGTCGGAAAATTTTTCGATTATACTTTTCGTAAATTTCTCATCAAAAGTTGCTTCGTTCATTCCAGACATTTTATTTTGTATGTCAATTGTAGTTTCAGCATCCAAAATCAGTTGCATTTTTCCAAATAATTATTACATATCCCATAGAATTGGTGATATATCTGAAATTCAAAAATTTTAACCATATTATTTCCGAGAATGCCATTGGGTATTTTAATATCACTAAATGATTCCAAGATGACAGAAAAAATAAACATACGGAACAATAACAGACGTTGTAGGCAACATTCAAAGTTAAAATTACGGTAAAGTATGATATATTGACGATATTATTATTTATAAATTTAATATTTTTTTTACACATCAAATAGAGTTTAAATAATTTATTTTTAATAAAAAATATACGAAACTTAAAACAACACGATCCTTAAAATGTTGTACTAGTGTAAACTTAATATTAACGTACCTACAACGATAATGAACGAAGGAAATAAGTATTTATTATTAGTACAATGAAATTAGTTAAGAAAATATGTAAGTACCTATTATATAAAAATTTATATCTTTTAAAAATTCCATAAACGTAAAAAAAACATAAGCAGCCGTCAATTAAAACTATAGGTTTCAATATACGATAAGAAAAAACTTACATTTAAAAAAAAACTACATTTATGAAATGTAAACTTAACGTAAATTCAAAATGGCCGACTGAACGGTATGTTGCATTAAATACCGGAATAAATCCCGACTGGTAAAGAGCTGCACCGCTGGACGATGAAGAAAATGGAGCGATAACTTTATGTATCGCGTCGCACATTTCCCATACAACGAGAGAGTGACAGAGATAGACGCGCGAACAGCGCTACGTCCTCAAAGACAACAAACAAGGTGAAGGTGGAAGTCTAGTGAGTTTATCGAACAGAAAATTAACGATAATACGGGTGCGGCGGTGATGAAGGTGATGATGATTATGAAAACACCAATCTAAAATGAAATAACTATAGCCGTAAAACATTATACTTCTAAAAAATATTTTTTTTTAATAAGTAAAGGTAATTCAGACAAAAAAAATACTGTTGATAAAATGACAATCAGAAAATGTCACTATGTAAAGTAGGTTAGAATACCTTACAAGACATACTCTGTTTTACAATAAGGTCTAAAAGTGACCATAATCTAAAGAAATATATATAAACTAAAATAAAGAAAAATAAGACTAAATTGATTTCAAAATGTTTTTCAATATAAAGATGATTATGATATTATCTTAAAAAAAAACAAACAATAAGAAACAATTTTAAAATACCAACCGATAATAGATTGATAAGAGAATCCAGAAGTAAAAGAGTGATTAAGAAGATACGAATACGCACGAAACAGGCGACCGGTATCACGGCTGTGGCGGCACTGACAGTAAGCAGAACGAGTGAGAAGAAAATGGCGGCCGCTTAAATGTGGCGAAAACGGGCGCTGTATACACAGGGTAAGCGTTGTTCAGAGAATACGTTGCGGCTCTCAGTTACTTGGCTTATATGTGAGGAAAAGAGACCATTTGATATAATTATAGCACGACCGACAGAGATAGATTATACAGAAAAAAGTATAAGAAGATGAAGTGTTTGAAGCCTTTATTACTCTATGTAGATATTACCGGGCAAAGTATAGGCCGCCATTAGACTCACATTTCAATAGCGTCTCACTCTCTTGTGTTCTACTTTTTGTAATCACTAACAACCAAAAATTGCTTCTATTACTATACTCTTTGAATATAGTCGTTATTAATTGTAGCTCAATATTTTTTTATATAGAAACAGTATCTAGAGAATCATCAGTATGAGGAACTTATTGAACAATTAATGTTTGAGAATTGGTACATGAAATTATGTTCCTATATTTTTTGGGAATGTAATAGTACATTAATATAACAATCTGGGTTGACGAGTTCATGCGACGTTGCCGGTTTTACGTTGGGCGCCTTTGGACTCTGGTAGCTGCCGCTAGATAGGTATGTTGGCGATTGCGCCCGAAGTAATCCGACCGAACTCGAAGAGCTCAAGCTGTGCGTGGAGACATGTCAGTGGCTTATATACGTCATGATCATGGCTAAAATAGAAAATAATAATCGAAAATATGTTTCATACATACTTGTTATTGTAAGCATGATATTGCACCGTATAAACTACATAAAGTACTCATGTGAAGATTGTAATGATTTATTACCTAGATGAAACCACAATTTGTATTTTTTCAATTTGATGAGATTAATTAGAACATAACCTCAAAATCTTAAGTCTTCCAAGCTGGATTAAATTGTTGCTAGGGTTCGACTATTTGTAGAAGGAACAGGAGAACTTATTTGTTGATATACCAAATACTTGGCAATTTTGAAACATGTACTTAGCTGTAATTAAAAATTGTATGGAAAAATATAAGTAAAGTATAGAGTCTATAGAGCTCATAAATTATCATGAATGTAAGAACATGAACATGAACTTATCGGAAAGAATACACCAAATGAGACGAAGAGATATGGAAGTAATACAGGAGTGAATGGATCAAAAAATTCTTTGTTGGTTGCGTCTCAACTCTCATTGTATGACGTTAATGTCTGAGGAACAAAATGGCGCACATCATGGAAAGATATAATAAAATTTAAGTATACGTAAAATGAAAAAGTGCCGATTTTTGAAATTTTAAATTGTTGTCTTGTGTGTAATGGTATTTCTTATTGCATACTTCATTCGCAACACAGTCCTGTCGTATGAGAGGTTACTGATTTTAAAACAGAAGAAATGTTAAAGAACGAATTTGTAAAATAATTGAGGCCCCAGAATGCACGGTATTGACAACCAACAGCATTGATGATTATAGAACTCCTTCGCAACAGTGGGAGAAGTTCGTCTGCACGTTTCAATAGTTCACTGGTCTTTGTGCTAAACCTGTCCAGCACACGAAGCTACATAGACGGAGAAAACAATTTATCGTAACGCCGTGCGCACAAACACATTCATACGTATTTCAGTGTGTTGGACCAAAGTAAAATTGATGATCTTACATAATTGTTTGCCAATGAGGGAAATTTGATCATACACAACAAACATATTAGAATTGTAAAGGAATTTGAAAATAAATGCTGTTCTTGGCTAAGTAACAAGTGGATGATCCTTCCGATGATCAATCTTAAAACAAAATGCGATGTTGCCATACTGTACAGTGTTACTGTTTGATGCGAATACTATCTATATCCATTATACATTATACGTTATAACGTTACGTTGTGGAGCCTAGGTTCGGCTGTTGCTGCGATCAATTATGAACAGTGAGAAACGACAGAATTATAACTTGCTTAGTTAGACTAGAAAATAAAACCTAAATTCAATCAATTGCTATTTTCTTTTCCAAAACATTAGAAATTACAAGTAAATTACTAATCATAAGTATTATCACTAGTACTTTAAAAGTTAAGTTTTTTGGGTAGGAGAATACAATACAATATACAATAAAAACTAGATTAAAAGGTGAATCGCAATAAAATGAATGATATAGGTAGATATATTAATCACTTGTTTCGCAATATGTATAGGACTTACCAAGATCCACGTCAAAAATGTTTTCCAGAACTCTAAAAGTTAAGCAGTAGGTATTTTCGCTGCAAAATAACAGTAAGAAGGAAAACAGACACAATTGCAGGCCATTATCCATTTGGAAAAGGGTACGCCATCTTGTTGACTTGAACTTCATGAAACAAAGCGAGAGAAAGATATTGCTTTACTGGTTTACAGCAATAAAAATGAAAGCATTTTGAAATTTTACTTTTCTGTGTATTCGTTTTTATTAGTATTTGTTTTTTTTTGTAAATATTAAGGTTATCCTAAGTCCTTAGTGGTAATTTGAATGCATTGTAGTCACTTCAGTTTATTTTCAAGCTATTATTGTTGCAAGTTGAATGATCATTCATCTAATTACTTTTATCGTTTAATATTTTTAAAAATATAGTTAATTCTTAATGAAAATTGGCGTATTTTACACAAAAAGTTAAAATTCAAGGTCAAATATTGTTTCCCTTTATTGTCGCGCGATGGCAGTGTACTTAAATGTTTAATATTAATAAAGCAACAACTAACACATATATTACAAAATGTAAATGAAAGATTTTGAGAAAGAAAGGCACTTTAATTTATTATAAACGGTCCTTGCACTGTAGCCTACTGGACGTTCCAGAACTAAGCCATATAGAGGCATCCGCGTGTAGCGCTCACGGCCATAGGCCGTTTGTACTAGTCTCAACCTACCACTCAAGAAACACATCCTTATTACAAAGCGATATAGAAACGCTACTCAATTTAGGCCATTCCGTGATAATTGCAGGCGATCTAAACTGCAAACACGGCTCATGGGACATTCACCGTATCCCAAATAATAACGGTAAGCAACTCTTTAGTTTAGCCGATAACTTAAACTTTATCATAATCGCTCCTGCGACTCCCACTAAGTATCCTGCGGTGGACAATTACCAACACGTGACACCCGAGTATCCTAGATATTATGTTATTCAAGGAGGTCTCGCTCGACATTGAGTCGATAGAGCCAAGCCAAGAACTAGAACTCAGATCAAAGGCCCGTTCTGTGCAAACTAGGCCAGATCGCTGGCGCGGTCCCTACGACTAAATCCGTAGTGGACTCGCATCGTCTTGAGGTCAAACTCAAGGCCTTGGACCCAAAGGGCTAAGTTAACCTACCCGAGACCATAGCTACGTTCGATGACGCAAATCGAGCGATAGCAAGTCTCCGAGAAACTATCACGAGAATTATCAAAAATTTAAAACCCATATCCGGCCCGGGCCCAGATAAAATTAGTAACAAAATTCTTAAAGCTCTCCCGGGGCCACTTATCTGTTTACTGGCGACACTACAACCGACCCTACAGGACGACCATACCCTACAGACACTACAGGGCGACCATTTACAACACTTTGCTCTCCAGTTGCTCCTTTCAGGACGACTGGAAAGAAGCCACGGTTATCGGCATTCGCAAGCCGAATAAACCGCCAATCAGCCCTCTAGTTATCGTTCCATCCCTGCATCTCACCTTTGCTCTTTACGCTCTACACGAGCGA